AATGGATGGATCTAGAAAAAAATCATCCTGAGTGAGGTAACCCAGACTCAGAAAGACAAATATGGTATGTACTCACTCCTAGGAGGATACTAGATGTGGAACAAGGATGACTGGACTGCTACTCACATCACCAGTGAGGCTACCTGGAAAACAGGACCCCAAGAAAGACACGGGGATCACTCAATGACGGAGAAATGGCTGAGATCTATATGAACAACCTGGACATGAGTGGGAGTAATGAAGGGCGAGGGTCAAGGGAAAGAGAGTGGGAGATCCCAGCTTTGCTTTCTATCCTCTCTGAGCCAGCAGCCCTTTCCTGCTTAGTCCCTAGGTTTGATAGAAACACTGAACTGGTGGTATAACCTAGATTATCCAGGAATCCTCCCTGTCTGTCTTACCCCTCAGTTCTGGGTCTCTCTGGTCTAAGTAAGGGCCTGTACTCCTATAAGCAGTGGCTCTACAGCCTGCCTGATTCTGTGCCTGTCCCTTAGTCTCCAAGCCCAGAGGGCCACCATGATGACAGAGATTTACTTGGTGATGCCTTGACATCAGTGAAGGTCCACATCAGGAAGTAGGCCAAGCCACAAACTATACGGAAGTGTTAGCTGTGTAGGTTAGAGAGACAGTCCTTCAGGGACAAATTGGTCCTCAGAGACTGTGTGTATAGAGATGGGTGCAGGTACCCATCTTAGAAGATGAGAACCATATCTGACTATGATGGCCCAAATGTGGACATTGAGGTGATGGTTGGTGGTGATATCCTGATGCCCTACAGGGGGTGGGTGTTAAGGATGGTGCTTCTGTGAGGACTTAGGCAAGTACATGTGTGTATACATCTAAGTACAGGTAGCATATGGACTGAGTAATAATAAGTACACTGGTACTAATGTGTCAGGTTAAACATCTATGTGGAGATCTGATAGGCCCTCCTCTGGGACAGCCAGAGTACCAGCCTCAATCCCTTTGAGACACAAAAATGAGTATCTGGTAGACAGGCAGTGTCCACGCATATCGACAGCCCTATCCCATGCAGTAGAGAAGCCAAGCCAAGTGGGCTGTGCTGAATGTGTTGGGCTTAATGGTTTGTTGTACTAGTAGACTAGATACGTCTCTACAGTGTCACAGAGACACTGTTGGCCAGAGAGAAAGGACAAGGACAGATGAAAAGTCAGGATTTATACATTCCTTGTGTTCCTCTCCCTAGGAGATTACTTAGGGGTGTCCCAGTCCAGCATAGCACTTCAGCTGGCTGTAGGCAGAGCATGGGAGAAGGACCCTTTGGATCAAACCTCTTCCTCTGTTGAGGGATGACCTCAGGCCAGGCCAGATACACAAAAATGCTCTAAGTCTGGTGATATGGGCTTGGACACTAACTAGACCCCACAGCCACTGGCCTAGGCACATAAGTTCTTTCTTTCCTCAGAAAGAACCAAGGCACTTTCAATGGGTTCTTGGAATCAATATCCCTAGGAATTGGAGGGCTCACTGAATGCTGCATTTATTTACCTACAGACCAGAAGAGGGTCTTCTATGTGTGGTGATTGTACAGGTCCTCATGTACACAGAGCAAGTAAAAACATTTCCTTCTGCCTCCTGCTCTTGTCCATGGTAAGGTTTCTGTAGAGGAAGAAGGACCCATCAGAGTCCATGACCAATGGGGTGTTCTTGTAGTTCTGCTCTGGTTTTCCATGGCTGTTATACTCCACATCACTGTCTCCAGGATGGGAGTCTATGGTCATACAGGTGAAAATGACTTTGTCCTTGGTCATTTGCTCGTTGGGTGGAGGCATGAAGCACCTGGACTTGCCCTGTGGGTAGAAAAGTCAGGACAGCAGTCACTGCCAAAGTAAAGAGCTTTGCCAAGCTCAGTACCCCTGCCCATGACATCCTCCATACAGTCCACCTCCCCCTAGAGTCCACTTTTAACTTTAGAGATTGCTTTCTCAGTGGGGACTGGGAAGGGTACACTGTTGACCTTGCACTTGAGTTCCTTGCCCCTCGGCCAGTCTTGGTGCAGGGTGAGGAGGATGCTGACCACATGGAGGGTGTTTTTATATTGCTTTTCCTAGACCTGCATCTGAGCCATGTGCACCTCCATATCATCCATGAGCCCGTTGAATTGGACCTCTTGGTTCATGGCCACCTCCATACATGTGATCTTAGCAGTCAGAGAAGTCAAGAATGTATCCTTGGACTTTAGGGGAATGATGAAGACAGATGTCCTCCCCTTAGGAGTTCAGAGTTGGTGAGAAGAAATAGAGATGGGTCAGGCCTACACCACCCGCCAGCATGGGGTACTCTTCCTCATCCTGGACCCAGGTAGTAAGACTAAGTAATTCATCTGGACATGTGGGACTCTTGCAGAGCCTAGCCTCAGAAACCTCAGATATGGTTTAAGGAAGAATGAGCATTAATGAAGTCTGTAAGTGAGAAGGCACCAAGACAGGGGTAGGGGGAAGAGCTTGGCCCTGGTTTGAGTTCAAGTCAACCTGCTTCTGAGTATGATCCTTGACAAGTGGAATGGCCAGGAGGTAGCATCTAAGCCTCTGCCACAGAGGATCATTCCCTGAATAAAAGGAGGATAGTCAGACTCCAAAAGGCAGACAAAACAGGAACTCCTATCAACTTGGACTAATTTACCTTCACTGGCAAGGGCTGTCCAGAATGGTTTGTCTAGACAGGAGGCTGACTCAACTTGACATCCAATGGGGCCCCTAATTCCCAAGCCATCCTATCACCAGTTTTCTCCTCCACCTTGGTTTTGTTAGCCAGGTGCTATCAGGATTAGTCACTGAGCTGACAAGGGAATAGAGTCCAGACTGCAGAACATGTGGGAAGAGATGCACACCACTGGACAGGGCTCCAGAATTCCAGGACTTGATCATTGGCTCAGGGAACTAACCCTGACCAGGAATCCCCAGGTCACCATGGGGCCAGAAGTGCCCCCACAGCCAAGATCCAGAAAGAAAACATATGGAGCTGTGGTTCTGGCTGCAAGACAGGAGAGACATGAGAGTGTTGTATCAGACTCAGCTGGGCCCCAGTCCTTGGAAACCATCTGTCCTAATCCTTCCCAGGACCCTGGCCCTTTGCAGGTGAAGCACAGCAACCAAGCTTGTTAGCATCAGGTGCCTTCTTAAATTACCCCACCTGAATTTCCTTAACCCCACTCTACCCCAGTATTTCCTGGCCAAGCTATCTGTATCCCTAGTCCCCTCAGTTGGGCCTCCATCCTCTTCCTCAGCTCTGCCTGCCCTGACACCTTGGTCCTGCAGTCCTTTATGTCCTTTGTTCCCTCCCTGGCTCGTTGCTCTCTGTGGTGATTTGAATGAGAATGGACCATGTGGCTTGTGTGAGTACTCGATCCCTAATTGGAAGAACTGTCTGAGAAGAAATAAGAGGCATGGTCTTGTTGACGTGAGACACTTTGAGGTTTCAAAAGCCAAGCCACTTCTAGTTAGCTCTCTACCTCATGTTTGTGCATCAGAATCTAAGCTTTCAGCTACTGTTCCATCTCCATGCCTCCCTGCCTACTGCCATGATCTCCATCATGACGATCATGGACGCTAACCCTCTGAAACTGTAAGCCCCCAATAAATGCTTTCTTTTGTTGTTTACCCTACCAGTCAAGAATAAGACCACTACCACAGCTTAAAGCCAAATTTGAAGCAAGCTTTAATTAAATACTGGCCAGATGGATGAGCTCTGGCCAGGTCCATATCCAGCTTCCCAGGAAATTGCCCCCAAGTCATGTTTTACAGGGTCTTAAAAAGTCAAAACTCACAATTCACTGCATTTCCCATCAGGTCCTATCAGGTGCAAGCATACATCCTGACATACTTCCTGCCTGCATACCTCCCACCTACATCCAATCAGGGGCACTTGCACATACATTGTGACATATTTCCTGCCTGCATACCTCCCACTCACATGTGATCAAGCACATCCAGTGCAGATGGGCCAAACAAACTTATTTAGGGGAATGAAAACAAATGGCTTGTTATTTCCCCTAAGCAATAGCCTCCAGCATTTCAGGAACTATCTGTCCTTGGGCTGATCACATTGGCTGGACTGGTCCATATCAGCTTTCAGCAAGTCCAGGGCTTGCAGTCATTTGGAGCAGGTTGTTGTCAGCAGCTGATGCCAGCCAAGTGGAAATCTGCTGGGACAGACACAGACTAGGGACAGATCAGAGGCATTTTTGTTTCATGTGTCTCTTAGGCATAGTAACTAAAACATAAAATGTAACTTTGGTTCTCACATTCCCCCTTGAGATGTATCCTTAGTTAAATCCTTGACTCTGTGATGGGTACCTGTTTATACTGGGATCTAATAACCATCTGTTTAATGGTAACCAAGCAAGAATTATCATTTAGTTAAGGCATCAAGTGATGTGAGAGCTAATAACAATTAGAAGAAGCAGAAGGGCCAAAGGTCTTGTGATGGTTGACATCAGAGTCACTACCTAGAAGGAACCTGGAAAGGAGAATGGTACCAGTTATTTACTTTATCTCAGGTCCCTTTTTGTAATGATTTTTTTTTCTTAGTACAGCAGATTATTTCTAATGGTTCCTGAGTGGTATATATAGAAACAACAATTTTCTCTTAAAGCTATAAAATAACCTCTCTGTTTTACATAGAACAGGTTGAATGCCTTATCACATTGTAGAACTATTTTCAGCTAATGAATCTACTTGTTGATAGACCTGGGTCTATTTGATTTTAATAGGTACCTTTCCTGAAATGCCAATAGGCACTATAGGTAGCTAATTTTCCCCCTGTGCCAGGGAATGTCTTTTTGATCTAACGCTCTGGCCTGTTGGGGGACAAGGAACAATGTACTCTCTTCTGTAACTACTTCCTGCTGAAACTAGGACATTGATGTCAGGGCCCAGGGTGGCTGGAATGCTAGTCAAAGACTGGGAGAGAATTCAGGCAATGGGGCATTCATCAGAAGCATCTGGTTCACTGACCCAGATAAAGAGACAGGGAGCAGTCACAATGGCTGAACTAGTCCACATCATCTTTCAGCAAGTCCAGGGCTCACAGTTGTTTGGAGCAAGGTGTTGTCAGCAGGTGATGCTTGGATGGTGTCTGTCAGCCAAGTGGAAATCTGCTGAGACAGATATATAGACTAGGGACAGAAGTAAAAATTTTAGAACTTAAAGAAAAATATTACATTTAGAACTTTCAGTCCTATTATCTTGGTAGTTGGGGGTGGGGGCGGGTCCCAAGACCAAGAGAGAGAGAGAGAGAGAGAGAGAGAGAGAGAGATCCCATCTTCAGGAATAGACAAGTGAGAAACTTAGGCTGTACTTATCTGGAATCGTTTTGACCTGTGAAAGCTGTATCAAAGTCTTATGACTTTCTAGATTCTCTGAAGCTTACATGAATTTTTTTTAGTTTACAAAAAGACATAAAAGTTTTAGATATGTTAGCATTACTAATCTGTACTGACATCCACATTGTAGAAAAAGCAGGTAACAGGTGTCTGTAAAACAGCTGAATTAGACTCACACCTTTGAGTCCTAGCAAAGGCTATAGATTTGGGTTAAAAAGCATGGACATTTTTTTCTCTGTTGAGGGATCCAGATATAGATTGGACAGAAGTCTCTTTAGCCCAGTGAGAAGCACCTTTAAGTCTATACTTAGAAGACAATCAAAGGAAATCTAAAATCTTGAGCCTGTGACTGAACAGTAAGTAGTCAATGTTCTACCAGCTTATCAGAACTCCATTTATCAATGTTAAAACTCTGAATTTTTGAAATCTTAGTGTAATAATAGCATAGAAGAGGGAGAAAGAAATCTGAAATTTTTTCCCTTTTCATATACTTTAAATCACTTACTTAAGCCTTTAAAGCTTGCATTTACACATCTGAAATCATTTTCTAAGACCTCCAGAGCTTACTTACTTGTTTATATATCTTAAAACATTTTCTTAGACCCTAAACATGCATAGACTTTAACTTTTTTCTAATCATTTACCAGAGATACATGTAGTTATTACTGAGAATAGTCTTTGAAAATTATGTTCCTTTAATAGAAAGCTATATCTAAAACCTGTTTATTTTTTTAATATGAATATTATTAGCAAAGCAACCCTATTTGCCTTTTCTCAACAGGAGACCTAGTAGCTCTAGAAAAAGAAAGTCTTGGTTTTTATGTATGAGATGCACTAACAAGATGGCTGCATCCTTGGGGATGAACCTGGTCCTCTGTTGCTGCTAAGCTGACAAAGCTTTAATTAACCTAGGCATCAATACCATCAGAGTCCTGAGAAGGATAAATTATTACAGAAAGTATAATCTAAATGGCCTATGTACCAATTAAAATGACAAAGACTAGTCCATTACCCAGAGAGCCATCCCAGGATCCTGTGGCCTATGTAACATTGGGGGCAAAGATACCAGGACAGCAGCAGTCTTCAGCCACAGTGAGACAGATAAAATGAGAAGCTTTTCTGTGGAAGCAGAATATGGGGAGACTGTCTAGGCAAAGTGGAGTAATAAACTCTTTAGTGTCCTGTCTGTCCACAGTTTGGAGGGTTCCTGGCCACAGGTACAACATCGGGGCAGTCTTGCCCAGTGGTTAGTGTTACTACAATCTAGGTGGAGTCATTGTGGTGTCCCATCATCTTTGGAGACCTCGAAGTCACTGCTAGGAACTGGGGGCGGGCGGGGGGGGGGGGTCTCTGTCATCATGTTCTTTTTCCATTAGACATTTTTTTTTCTTGGAAAATAAGTCTTTTTATTCACAAATCCAGAACATGTGTGGTAGTAGGAAGAGTTGGTCACATTTAGAGTCTGACAGTTCTAAGACCTGTGTTGTATGGCTCCTGATACTTTCAATTTTGTGTTTTTTAAATATATATATTGTGTGCATGAGTGTTTTGGCTACATGTATGTCTGTGTATTGTGTGCATGCCTGCATGTGTGCAAAGGCCAGAAGAGGCCATCAGATCACTGTAACTGGATTAAGGATGGCGGCGAACTTCTGTGTGGACACTGGGAACTAAACTTGGGTTCTCTGGAAGAGCAGCTTCCTAACCACTGAGCCGTCCCCCCCCACACCCTCAACTTTGTATTTTTATGCAAAGGGATTCTGACAACGCAACACTTCCACCCACATCACCCTCACAACTCAGTTTCTAGAGACCGGTGCTTGAAAAGAGAAATAGGAAGCCACCTCGCCATCGTCAACTGAAAGAAGCGATTGAGTCTAACCAAGACTGGCTAACATTGCTCATTTTCTTCTGTGGACATCTTACTTAACAGCTTCGCTTCACTAAAGCCGCCAGTTCAGGACTCCCACCGCATTTGTTTGCAGGCTTGAGCTTCAAGCTCTCTCAGAGTGTATCTAGTATATCCAAAAGAACCTACATCTTCCTGGGACTACACACAGTATTTTTTAATATCTTTATTTTCTGTTATCTGGCACAGAATTTTCTGTACCTGCATATTCCAGAGATGTTAGCTAACAAGGAGGACCCTAAAAGGGATGCATGAATTACCCTAGAAAGGGGAAATAGATGAGCTCTCCATGACTAAACTGGCGGTGTAGCTGGAGAGCTTCTCTCCGGCTCCCGCCAAGGCCCCGTAGTCCCATAGCCCACTTATAAAATAAACACACAGATGCTTATATTATTTAAACTGTTTGGCCTAATGGCTCAGGCTTCTAGCTAGCTGTTCTTATATCTTAAATTAACCCATTTCTATAAATCTACACCTTGCCATATGGCTCATGGCTTACCAGTATCTTATGTGTTGGTACTCATGGTGGCGGCTGGCAGCATATCCTAACTCAGCCTTCCTGTTCCCAGAATTCTCTTCTCTGCTTGTCTTGCCTATACTTCCTACCTGGCTACTGGCCAATCAGCATTTTATTTATACAGAGCCATATCCACAGCACTGGGGGTGAGGGGTGTAATAGAGAGTAGGGGATGAAGGATGAGAACATAAGGGAATGGGATGGTCAAGCTGGAACAGGGACAGAGTGGGAGAGCAATGAAAGAGATACCATGATAAAGGGAGACATCATGGGAATAGGGAGAAACCAGGTGCTAGGGAAGTTCCCAGGAATCTACAAGGATGACTCCAGCTTAGACTACTAGCAATAGTGGAGAGGGTGTCTGAGCTGACTTACCCCAGTAATCAGATCAGTGAATACCCTAACTGTCATCATAGAGCCTTCATCCAGTAACTGATAGAAGCAGATGCAGAGGTCCACAGCCAAGCACCAGACTGAGCTCCAGGAGTCCAGCCAAAGAGAGTGAAGAGGGATTCTAGGAGCAAGAGACATCAAGATCATGATGGGTAAACCTACAGAGACAACCAAACCAGTGGGAACTCGGGAATTGTGGATAAATAGCTGTGGAGCCTCCATGGGTCTGAACTAGACCCTCTGCATAAGCAAGACAGTTGTGTAGCTTGATGTGGCAGTAGGATCAGGATCCATCCCTGGGGCATGAGCTGGCTTTTTGGAGCCCACTACCTATGGTGGGACTGTAGCTAGAGTTTTCCTGCCTTGCCCACAGTCAGGACAAATCTTTGTCACCCGCCAGTCCCACAGCTGCTCAGACCAAACCAAGTAAACACAGAGACTTATATTGCTTACAAACTGTATGGCTGTGGCAGGCTTCTTGCTAACTGTTCTTACAGCTTAAATTAATCCATTTCCATAAATCTATACCTTGCCACGTGGCTGGTGGCTTACCGGCATCTTCACATGCTGCTGGTCATGGTGGCGGCTGCAGTGTCTCTCTGCATCAGCCTTCCACTTCCCAGAATTCTCCTCTCTCCTTGTCCCACCTACTTCCTGCCTGACCACTGGCCAACCAGTGTTTTATTTATTGACCAATCAGAGCAATTTGACATACAGACCGTCCCACAGCAGTGGAACACCTTGCATAGCTTTTATCCAGCGGGAGTGGCTTGGGCCTGCCTCAATTGAAGGTACCAGGCTCTGCTGACTCAGAGGAAGGAATGAGGGGTGGGTTGGGGGCTAAAGGCTGGGGGCAGGGGCAGGGAAGAGAGGAGGATCTGTGGTTGGTATGTAAATGAATAAAAATTTTCTTAATAAAAAAATCCAATATTTTATTTAAATTTTCTGTAAAACTCCAAAATTTCCTCTTAAAAAAGTTTAAAATCTCTCAACTGTGTGTTCCTGAAATATTGAAAAATAAAGTACCCTTATTTTACTTCAAGAAGGAATATGCAGGGTAGAACCACAATCTGCATAAGGCAAAACCAAGCTCCAACAATGCAAACAATTCAAAGCTCAATATCTGGGATTCATTCACCATTCTGTGGCCTTCCCTGAGGGGCTTAGATCACCCCTTTAGTCCCACTCTTAGCAGTATATACATAGTCTGCCTTCTAGATCCCAGACTGATCTATTTTGTTGTGGCTGGTACTTCTGGTGATTATCACATGGCACTGGCATTTCCAAAATTCCTGGGGTCTGCCATTGTAACTGAGCTCTCTTGAGGAACTCTAGCCCTGCCACATATTATCAAGCCTCATCTATTCCCCATGACCCCTTCATGTCTTTAAAACCATTACTCATGTCACAAAGTTTGGCCGCCAGCACAAGGTACATTCTTACACATGAAAGCATGGTGGTACAACTTTGATACCTTATTAAACAAGCTTTGTTTTTAATCCTATCTTTCATAAGCCTTGTTTTCACGATAGGACAGCAATTATCATACAAAAATTCATCCTAATTCAAAGTATCTTGGAGATCTGTTGTTGCCTCCTTGGTAGGACCACAGCATGTGGTCACCTTTAATCAAAATGGTGGTGAAATCATATGACATCTGTCTTCTCCAACCTGAGCACAGATGGCTGTCAGCCACATAGCTGCCCAAAGATGAAGTCATATGACATCCACCCTCTCCAATCCTAGAAAAGATGGCTACCAGCCACATGGCTGCCTGGATGGATGGTGACAATCCATGTGTTGCTTATATCCCAAAATTGGAATCATCATATCACATGGTTCCTTTAAGATTACCTACACTTATATTTTTAACTATCAACTCCCAATGTTACTAGTTTTAAGTTAACTTTTCTCATAGATTTTACAGATTTTTAACCATGTCCAATAAAATAAACTTATACATCTTGAGGTACGGAATGTTTACATAGACCAACTCTAATTTTTTGGCTGTTCTGCTTAGCTTTATTTCCCGTCACAATGTCAGGAGGCTCAACTGACAAAGGACATGTAGGAAACTTTTAAATATGCTTGGGTCTAGAGAAGGTAGAGCCATAGCCCAACTCTAGAGCAAATTTTCCAATAACATAGAAAAGCATAAAACAACTTTACTGTTATCCACACCCAAAAGACATCTGAACTCCTGCTAACCTGAATCCAGTGACCACAGAGCTCAGAGATGAATTCTGAGCCCCTATCATAAAAGCAGCCATGGCAGTGGTGGTGACTGGTGGCTGGCAGCAGAGACAGCAAAAAATATTCGACCCATTTCTGTCTTGGCTCCATATTTAAACAAAACTTATGGACACACCAGAAAACACAGACAGATAAAACTTTCCAACAACAAGACAGACAAAACCTTCCATGGGAAACTGACAAAACTTTCCAAAGAGAAACAGAACCAGATGAGTGGGCGATGATGCCTTGGATGGGAAAATATTGGGTCCCATTGAACCTGCTCCACATCCCAGGTAGGGATACCACAAAACAGAACCAGACTATGACTCACCAGGAGGCCTCCATAAATGCTTGTTGCATTTCTCAGCATGGCAGTTCACTCCAAAAATCGGTGAACTGGAGCCTTGGAACATCTCAAGGTATGTGCCCCTGGAGTGGCCCTATAACCCCAGAGTTCCAGAGTGAAGATCCAGCTTTAGAATTTGGGTAGGTGGTTTGAATTTTGCTAGGGCCTCCAGAAAATGTTACTACCACTAGTCAAAACTAAGAACACTACCACAATTTAAAGCCAATTTTGAAGTAAGCTTTCATTAAATACTAGCAAAGTGGATGGGCTCTGGCCAGGTCCATCTATACCCAGCTTCCCAGGAAATGGCTCTGAGTTATGTTTAGCAGGGTCTTAAGAAGGGGCAATCCTGACACTCTGTTCCTGATCCAGCTGGGACCTCCCACTCCCCTAAGCTCTCTTTCCCCCGAACCTTGACCTCCATTACCCCCCCACACCCAGTTTGCTCATGTAGATCTCATCCATTTCTCTGGGACTGGCCCTGCCTCAACTGAATCTACCAGGCTGGGCTGACTCCCCAGGGGAGACCTTGCCTTGGAGGAGGTGGGAATGGGGAGTGGAATC